GCCTCATTTATAGACTAGATGCGTGCAGAATAAAATTATATTGAAAAATATGAATTTTTTAAAGAAATTACCAGCTGATTTTGAGGAATTCATATTGCGGAAAATGTATTAAGCTGTTTTTAAAAAAAATACTCAAATATACGAAAAAAAATAATTCTTTAACCTGCTGCTCAATAATTTTTCTATGCCAATTAGTTTTGTTTTTGGCCATTTTTAATTTTTTGGTGTTTTTTTAAATTTTTTTCTTTTTTTATTTCAATAGTTATTTAATTTAAATAAAATGCCTAACATTGTAAAACTAACTAACTAACTTCATTTGAGAGATAAATATAAATAAATTTATGTTAGAAAAAAAAATAAATAAATAATAAGTAAATAAATTATAAAATAAATTAATAATGATAATAAATAAAATAAATAAATAAATAAATCAAAAAGTGAATACACATAAAAAAATAAATGAATAAAAATGATAAAAAATATTTTCCAAAAAAATTAACAAATAACATTTAACAAAAAAAAAAAAGTTTTTAATTGCTGCTAATTTGAATATACAGTTCGTTATAAAATTTTCTTCAACTCCGAAACTTATACATAACAATGGAAACAAAGCTTATGAAATTCTAATATTTTAAATTAACTATAATTTATAAAACTATGCTATTTTTATGCTTAATTTTTTTTAATTTCAACATAATTTTTTAATTTCAATATTTTCTTCTATTTTTGATTATATTTTTTCGTATTTTCTTTTTATTTTATATACGAGTTCAAATTAACTTTAACTTAAAAAAATAGTCTTTCTTTTATTGTAAGTTTTTTTTTAACATTTTTAAATTTCTTGATAATTTTTTCTGCATTTCTTTTTCAAACCTGTTATGCGTTATGATGATAGGGTGATGTCTGGTGGGGTTTCCTCGCATTCCGGTTTTCCAAACGTGGTAGCGCTTCCTGTATTGAGCACTATTAGATCAAGCCGCGCAGCGTGTTTGATATACCTCACTCTATGATCCATAGACCTAGCTATATTTTCAATGTTGTTGAGCTTTTCTTGGAATTCATTTCTCCTATCTCTTGGCGTCAAGTAGCACCTAATTATTGTGAAAAGGTCACATTTGCCCTAGACGAAACCGTTGCTGTCCCCTTTACGTATAACGTCGACTTTGCTTCCTGGGGGTAGCCATATAGCGGCGGATGAGCTGCTATCTCCTCTTACCTCTTTTTTTTTTGTATTGTTTGCTTATGATGATTAAATCGTAGCCGTTCTCTATCACTATCTGATAGTGCGTCATCAGCCTTGCATTTACCATATGCATATTGGCCTGTATGTATAAATAAATATTATTCGGGTAATTTCTATAAATTTCACATTTTGCAGAGCCCGAGAGTTAAAAAAAATTGGAAAACTTTTCATTGCCTGAGATTTAGAAAATAATAAAAAATTCTAAAATATTTAAATAATTTACTATTTATGAAGAATATTGCATTTTTAATAATTTGAGCGAAAAATGTAAAATAAACAAATTATAGTTTAAAAAACTAAAAAAACACGCTTTAAAGGAATTTTTAAACTTCTTCCTACAAAGCTCTTCCCTACCATCTTGTTTGCTTATGGCGCATTTATTTCGTCAGTTGTCGCACTTTTTGTGTATTTTAACATAACATTTTCACAGCGTATGAAAAAGGGCTAAACGGACTTCTTCTCATCAAATTTGGTTGAGTAAGTTTTAGCGGTTTGGAACCATTAAACCATTTAGGTGCGAGGTTACGCCCACCTTTAAGGTAATGGGAATCACATTATTGGATCGTCATCGGTCCTTGACAGTCTGCAAAGTTTCAACTTGATCAGACTTCTGGAAACCGGTCAAAATTGAGCTCTAAGATTTCATTACATACATACAACCCAAGCTTATAAAAGCGTGTTAAAAATTGAAAAGGTTCGAGCTTTTCAAAGAATATAAATTTTTTAAATCATAAAATAATACAAAAATAAACATGAAAAAATGAAATAATATTAAAATAAATAAAGTAAAAAAAAAACAACTAAATGAAAGAAAATATAATAAATACATATTAATTATAATTTTAGTGCATAATTACATAATACCATAACCTATAATTTTTTTTAAAAACTTTTTTATTTTATAAATAATTTTTTTTTGATTTTTAATCTTAAAATTTGTATTATTATCTGTAAAAGCTATTAATTTCACTATTCACCTTACATTTTCAAATGCGTTGTGTACTTGTAAAGGAAACAAAATTATATTGTTACGCTTAAAACTAGAATGGCAAGTTGTATAAGAGTTTTTTAGTGCTGAAAAACTAAAAGAAGCTGCATTCAAAGTATTCGCGCTAAAACTATTTCAAAAAAACAATAACAACAACAATATATGTGAACATGTATGTATGTATGTATATATAATTTTCAGCAATTTAAATTAGTAACTTCGCATACACTAAGTTATAGCGTTGTTACAACAACTATTTATATATGTACGACATTTAGTTAGCATTAATACATAACAACAACAACTATTTACCTAACTACTTCCATACGTAAACATAAGTATATAGTACATATATACATAGTTTCTTTTTAAATGCCAATTATAATATAAAATATTTCTTCTTAGTTTATTTTTACTGTAAAAAGTAATGTATTTCTGCCAATTTATTATTTAAGTTTAGTGACTTTTAAATGATAATTGCAATTGTATGCTGTATGAATTGAATAAACAAATAATTTAATTACCGTATGTGAGCGATATACTTACAACAAACATACACACAATTTAGAAATCAAGTAAACTATAAAATCTAACAATTTAGCGAACCGTATGCAATTGACTTAAAGCGAAAAAATATTAATAATTAATATTAAATAAATAAATGATACACAAATGAAGGAAAACAAAATAAAAAAAAGTATGAAAATTGATTTTATTTCATGGTATCTATTCCACACAATATGCACCGCAGCAGTGCACTCTTAATTAAATATTGCATTTCTATATAACCACTTTTAGGCGGCACCGTTTTCACTACGCAGCTACCCGCCAATCTCACTTGCATTCCGTTGCATACTTTTAGGCGTAATTATTTCTTACTTACGCTCTGAGCTGGGCGCCCACCCAGAGAACGTAAGTGAACTTCTACCTTCTTTGGTGCGATAACCCTCAAAAACGTTTGAAGCCACAAAACAATAAATAAATGTCGATAAATATTTACGTGTTTATTTACAATATTTAATTATTTATTTTATCATTTGTTAGATATAAAATACATGTTGTAAGTAACCTTTAAAGCTATTTCAAGTTGAAATAAAAAAAGGGCAAAACTTGACGTTTTATACAACCACAAAGCATATAGTTGCCACACTTTAAAACTGCTTGGCGGCAGCTGCCAATTTCTTCTCCTTCAAAAGCGCATAGCACTCTGGCACATGGGTGTAGAAGTCGCACAATTTCGTTTCCACATTGAAAGCCAAATATTTACCACAATTGTATAGACGTGGATGACCATTGACACAAACGAAATATTTCTTGCATGTCTTGGGATGACGGAAATAGCGTAGCTCACCCTCGGGACTGGTGTCGACTTCCTTCTCTACACCATCGACTGTCTCTGGTGGTGGGCATGTGAAGTCGAGGAAAGCTTCAGCATTACATTCGGCAACTAGATCGGGCCAGTCACACTGATACGACTCCACATTAAATGCCAAACCTTCGGGGCATTTTGTCAGTGTTGCCTCGCCATGCGCACAATTCTTGTAGACACCGCAATTCTTTGGATCACCGGATGAATAGAAGCCGAATTGGCGTTCACATTCAGCGGTACCGTTAGCTGGCTGCAGGCGTAAACGATCTTTACACGTTGTGAATGGTAAGTAGGTGCAGTCGCCAGTTGTTTTGCCGCGTTGATTGAAGAGCAGACCATCAGGACAGAGTTTCTCCTCACCAACACCGTCTTTGCATTCCAGATAGGCGTCACATTGTGTATCATCGGCGAAGCGACCGTTCGGTTCGGGGCATGAGCGGGCGGCAGAGTGAGCTATATTTTAAAGGAAAAGAAGTGCGGTTAGGCAAATTGGGTTCGTTACATGAATGGATTTTTTATACAAAGGTATTTTGAATAACTTAAAAAAATATATATATATATATTAACATATTTTCAGAAGTACCGTCCAAAAATGACTTATGAGCTTAAGCTTCAGCGCTTTTTCTTTTTTGGTTTCAACCGACTCAGGGTACATAGGATCGGAATTAGTTGTAAGCAGAGATAACGTTTGAGATTGGTGGAAATCCTAACCTAATTTAGGGTTTCGAAACACTTTTGAGATATCTAAAAAGGTCTCACTCTGATAGCAGGGCGGCAATCTCACCGTGCGTTCAAGGCTAATGCCCAACCTCGTTATTAATGGCATTGAGTTACCTTGTGATTAGACTAATATGGGTGCCAGGCCACAGCAGTAACTGCAAAGCTGACGAACTGGAAAGGAAAGGCACCCTAGCGCCGCTATGAGTAGAATGGGAACAGATCAGTGCACTACTCTTCTCGTGTGTTCCACTACTAGATAGCTGGGCTTTGCCGGAGCTTAGTCAGCATTGGCCAAAAATCGATTAGAAGAGATCCAGTAAGCTCTTTTCCTCTCCCTAGTTGTGGGGGTCCTAACAGGCCATTGCCCTATCCTCGTCCACGCTGTAATGTTGAGAATCCTACCGAATGCCAGCTGAAGAAGCTGTATGGAAGAAGATGAGATGAAATCATCTCAACACTTCCTTCTTGATTGTCCCGCGTTTGCCAGATCAAGGCTTAAACACTTGGGTTCTCAGATATCCTACAGGCTTATAAGATCGAATGCAGAATTTCTCTATAAATCGTAAAGCTTCTTACTTATACTAGAAGGTTAGGTTTAAATATAGATACTTTAGAGAGAACTTATTTCTGTAGAACGATCTTATCTTCATGCACTCGTACTCCATGTAAACTCATGAAAATTAAATACTTAATTTTTTTTCCGATTCGATTTTATTCAAAAACTATACACACAAATATAGCCAAACTGATTCAACGCATTTTTCACTAGGGACTAGAGTATTACAAATAATGAGAAAAAAATAGTAATAAAATAAGAATTTTCTCAGTATTTCTCTTTAGATTCGTCTCTTTGCTGATGCCGCCGACTGAGCTGAAAGACGCGCATTCTTAATCTCCTGACCGCGCTGTTTAATGTCTGGGCTGCAAGAAGGCACATTGTCGATGTCATCACAAGTTTGTGTTTCCGGATTGAAAGCGCTTGCTTCGTCACAAGCAATGCGACGGGGACGACCCTCGATACAAATGAAATATACTTGGCAGTTCTCGCTCGATGGATAGAATTCATATTCTTGTTCGGGTTCGCCAATGAATTGACCTCTGGGCGATGGGTTTGGTGGTGGACACTTGAAGCCCAAGAAAGCTTCGGCATCACAGTCGGGCACTTGATCGGGCCAATCACATTTATAGGTTTCCTTGTTCCAAGCCAAACCGTCGGGACAGTCGAAAACGAAACCACGACCGGAAGCGCAGTTCTTGAATTTACCACAATTTCGTGCATCACCCATGCTATAGTACCCAAATTGATGTGGACAGTCGTCGGTTGGTTGAGCAGGCTGTATACGAGCTTGGCCTTGTGAGCATTCTACATCGATGGGATAGCCACAGGGGTAACCGGAAGATTTTTCATTGTACAGCAGACCGTCGGGACAGAGTTTCTCCTCAGCGATACCATTCTTGCATTCGATATAAGCGTCACAAGAGCCTGAGACGACTTGTGTGCCGTTCGGTTGTTGACATTGAGCGTAAGCTGCAAGGTGAGAGAGAGAGAAGAGCATAAAAAGGTCGATATTAATACAAAATTTTTATTGAATTTGCTTACCTAGACAGGGTGGAGAATGAAGGGAAGTAGAATGATGAAGACTTAACATTTTTTTTATATTTTTTTCGCACACCAAAACTTTTAAAATGAATGATGAACTAAAAATTAAGTTTTCGCATAAAATCCTGAATATTTATAAATATAAACGTAATATACTTGTATACATATGAGTTAAATTCATAATATTTCAGGTTTATAAATACAATAGCTTCAACCTTCATAAATAAAAAAGTTTCCACATAAGACTTGATTTTGATAGGTCAGCAGTATTACAACTATATGCTATATCGGTCGGATCTTCAGAGATCATACCGATGCTTTGGACAATAAATAATTCATGCTAAATTTTTTGAATACATCTCGTCAATTAAAAAAGTTTTCCATAAAAGAACTTGGTTATGAAGGTTCAGTTTGTTTGGCAGCTATATGCTATAGAGCTCCGAAATTGATGCTTCCGACATATGAGCAGCTTCTTGAGGAGATTGATATCTCAAAATCTGAGAGATAAATAGAAAATAAGACTCTCACTTTATAGTCTAACAGTCTGAAATATTTTTCAAAACTTCGGCAAAGTCCTTGAAGTACTATATACAAATTAAAATTACTTCTAATTGTATAATGATAAAGAAAATACTATACAGGGAGCCTATATACAAGGTACTTTTCAAAAGTTCCAGGACTTTTTAAACAACGCGGCTTCTAGTGGCGATTGTCTGAAATTGTTATCCCTCAATTGTGTATTCTTCAGTGTTGTCGTATAAAATTTATATAACAGCTGACTTGTATAACAGCTGAGATATCGCGCTACATGTGACATTACATTTGTAGTGTCGGTCCGAAAATGAGCATCGAACAAAGAGCCAACATTAAGTTTTGTTTTCAAATTCGTAAAACTTTTACCAAAACTCATCAAATGATGAAACAAGTTTATGGCGATGATTGTCTATCCCGTAGCCGTATTCACGAGTGGTTTAAACGTTTTCAAAGTGGTCGTGAGGACATAAATGAGAAATGAGTCGAAACCCAAAAAATCGCGGCTGGAGAAGTCAAAAGTGAAGACAATGCTGATTTGTTTTTATGATTCCAAGGGTATTGTCCACAAAGATTTTGTTCTACCCGGTCAAAACGTTAATGCGGTATTCTACCTTGGAGTTTTAAAGCGTTTGGTGCGCCGTATTCGACCCGAATATCGCGAAGATGGAGTTGAAGTTGGCGTTAGTTGCACGATAATGTGCCGTCTCATCGATCGACGCTTGTGGCCGATTATTTGACCAAAAATCACATTTTAACAATGAACCACTCCCCGTATTCACCTGATATGGCACCGTGCGACTTCTACTTTTTCGGAAAAATGCATTTGCCGATGAAAGGAAACCGCTATGCTGACTTTGATGCCATCCAAAAGGCGACGATCGCCATCCTCAACGCTATACCGACAAATGACCTAAAAAAGTCATTCGATAACCTTCTTGAACGTGCAAAACGTTGTATTCAGGCGGAAGGAGATTATTTTGAAGGCGACCAATAGATTTTTCAAAAAAAAAAAAAATAATAATATTCGTTTTTAATAAAAGTCCTGAAACTTTTGAATTGCACCTTGTATTTAAAAATTTATTGAAAATTTATATTTTTAAAAATATATTCGAAGTTCAGTAGTTAGAAGTGAGCACCACGAAATAAGTCAAGAAGTTCAGCAAATAATTTAGCATTTGGATTCGAAACTTGAAATATATATAATAACTATTGTTATCTATAAGATACTATGGGATTAAAACCGGTTTCTAGCCAGGGATTTTTAAGGGGAAGTTTATTTTTCAATGATAAGAAAAATTTCTTCGTCAGTTTTTGAGATATCCGAATGAGTTTTAATACATAGGTGCATTTTTATATTCTATTTATCGTTTGTCGGAATTGGCCAACTATATCACATATCTCCTATGCAACCGATTTTTCAGATTATTATTTTCTGTCATTCTGCCTTTAATTAAAAAGCTAAAAGCACGTAATTATGCAGAACTGACCTCTAATACATACACAATGACAAGGAAAATAAAGAAAATCAGACAGCTATCATATATATATAATATCGATCGAATTAACCCCAAAACGGTAACGAAAATCGTCTAGAAGGGGCCGTCAAGAATAGGGACTATCTTGATTCACACAAACCGACTCCAGATAATGTTTTTTCTTTACTGCTGTTTAAAATAACTTTAATTAAGATTGAAGTGATTATGATATCGGCTAAAAGTAAAATGGTACGAAATGGCAATATTTCCTAACTACTGGAAGGCATTGTTATTGTTTTCACTGAAACATCTTTTTTTATGCTGAGAGCACAGTAAGAAAGCTCGATTAACATTCGTTTGGCATATAAATGATTTTGACACCTTCTGATATAAGGTATTCATATTATTAGGTAAGAAATGAGGGATTTTCAGGAAAACATACGAAAGAGAGATTATTTTGTTATGCTCTAATCAAGGTATATAAAATGTCTCACGCTTGCACAAGTTTGCAAAACCCTGAAGGAAACGTTGGAGACCCTAAAGGACATATATGCATATATATGGTAAATGACCATCGTAACGAGCTGAGTGGACTTACTCATGTTCGTCTGTTTGCTTATACGCGAACTACTCTTTCAAGAATCTGCTCGATATCGGACCACTATAGCATAAAGCTGTCATACAAACTGGCCGATAAAAATCAAGATAAATATATTTTTAGTATTATAACTTCAGTGCAGCCGAAGTTAATAATCTTGTTTTTTTTATTTTTGCAGTTTATTACGATTCGGTTGATAATATCAAAGCGCTTTTCTTAAATCATATTATATATTATTTTGACTACAAAGTGTTCAACAAAGTACCGGTAATATTTTGACCTAATTGCCCGCACTTTGTTTAATCAAAATAACGTTTTGAAGTTTGCATTCATAAATGTGAATACTATTATGCACGCAGATAGATAACAGAATAAATATGTGGGCAAACAAGTGTATGCGCATACACACCTCAGAAAATTGACAGTGTTAGTTGTTTTTGTGTAATTTATTTTTGATGCTTTGCTATGAGTGAACACAGTGCGCTCAATAAAATTTTGAACTTTTAATAAATAAATTGAGAAAGACAAGTAAGGTAAGTAAAGGAGATTTATTGCAAAAAAATGGTGTTTAATTATGAAAATTTTTTTGATTAAAATATTTTTGGTGCTAGTTTTTTTTAATAATTCTGTTAAAATGATTTTACAATTTTTGTGTTTGATTTTTTTAAATAAAAATAAACACAAAAATTTTAAAATCTGTCATCAGTTCTTAAATATTTTCATTACTTGGACGGCCGGGGTTTGTTTTATTATATTACGTAAGTGTTGATTTTTGTTTGCAAGCAAGTGCTAAAAGAATGCTCAGCTATTTGGTGAAAAAACGTTCTCTATATATCACATTTAAATACCAACTGACTTCGTTTCTCGTTTCATAAAGCATTAGATAGTCAGGATTCAAACTTGCGTTGCAACCTGGCGCTACAATGTTCATTGACGCATGCGTAATTGTGTTGTGGTTCTTTCCTTGATGTAAACATTCTTCTTCAATTTAATCATAAATTATCTTAAGCCTTAAGTTTTTAAATTTAATATATGTTTCTTGAGAGTAATTTGTCATATAAGCTTTTAATAATTAGTAAAACAAAACTTGTTTGTATTACACAAAGATAGCAGTTATATAATTTTAACTAGGTATTAACAGGTCTTATAGAAACTACTTGTTGATCGTTAAAAAAACGTATGACTAATAGACCACTCATTATAATGTATAATCGCAGAACCATTACTCCTCGAAATAGCGGTAAAATCAATACATGTTTTCAAAAGAACAAAAAGTATAAGCCAAAAAAATAAATCCAAATAATAAACAACAACAAAAATCAAAAAGTTCAGCAGCATTCTTCGCTGCGTTGAAAGTAAAAGTGTTTAAGACCAAACGAGTTTCAACAGCAGACATCTAGACAGAGTGATAACTATTCGCAAGCAAGCATGTTAATAAATATATAAATAGGTATATGCATACGTAACATACATTCACGCATACATATAAACCCACTTTTGTACATATTTGCGCATATAAGCAAGCGAAGTCATTAAAAGCTGATGCCAAGCAATAAAATTGATATTCAAAATAAATAAATAAACTGCAGATGAGCAACAATCGAAGGTAAAGAGGGCGGAGCAACGATGATGCTGTCAACTGTGGAATGCTTAAGCGTGGCTGAATTATGTAACTGCTATTAGCATAAATGTGTACATACCATACACCATACCATACATATGTGGGGTTCAAAAACTTTAAGGTAGCACACAGTGATGTGGATATATGAATTTCATAAAATATAGAATATGGATTTGATAACGAATTTCGTAATATAATATATTAAGCTTATGTAGTTCAAAATAATGGAGTTTAGAAAGTTAAAAATTGAAGATGGGCTTAGAACAATTTTGAAATATTGTGTTACAGTAAAAATAATATATCTAAGTAGACTGCTAAGATAAAATTATTCAGCCTAAAATAATATTAGTATTAATAATGTTTTTTAAAATCCTTAATATATAATATATATAATTAGGCTCAACGGATGCAAGCGGCTTCTTCAGTCGCACGCGGTCAACGGCCATGAAAGTATCCTTTTTACAAATGAAAAAATGTTTACTGTTGAAGAAGATTTCAATAAAAAAAACGACAAACCCTACGCAAAAAATTTCAAAGACACAAAAAATATTATTCTGAGTGTTCAACGTGGTCATCATACAGCTGCTGTAATGGTTTGGTGGTAAGGTTCTTGTAAAGGCGTAACACCTCTTCACTGATGTGAAAAAGGGATTAAAACTGGGAAAAAGCGTACCAGCAGCTTCTTTTAAAAGGCGTGGTA